CTCTCTCTCTCTCTCTCTCTCTCTCTCTCTCTCTCTCTCTCTCTCTCTCTCTCATTCCCTCAATCTCTCGTTTCAAGGACGCCGCCGACTGCACTTAGGCCGCCCGCTGAGCGGACTCTCTTCCTTTGAGAAAGCGCGAAGAGGGCGTTCGCAAACCCTTCCTTTCTCCATCGCGCCGTCCTGTCGTCGGGAAGATGCACTTGCGGGGATGTCTCCGTCTGCAGCGTTAGTCACCGCGTCACCACGAACATAGGCGGCAGGCGGGGGAGAACCTCCGCAACGCGAACCGTGAAGGGTTGACTACGTAAACCCTGTCCTGCCTACATTACACTGTGGGATCGAGTGAGAGACAGTTATACTTTAGTTAGAGGCAAGGTGCCTGAAATTACCCAATATAGAGCGCCAGTGCCTTACTTACATAATGTTATAGAACGGGCCAAACATTGGCTAATTCAAGCTAATTTGAGGCACCGTACCCCACATTAGCTAGAGCATATCAGTCCCACACTTGTTTAACAGTGTATGTGACAATAAAACTTTATGGCATGAATGTGGACCAATGTGGAACAATTAGGTTGCAACGAAATCACAAAAGACACGGGTTCATATAAAACTAATCTACACACAATGTTAGGATACACTTTTAACTAGATTTTTACAACGAGTTGGGTTTTTTTAACGAGTTGGGAAATGTGTGTCGTTACTTAAAATAGTTTACCTGACCAGTGACGCGCACAGAGGTCCATATGGTGTTGCCCGCATTTTAGTCATTTGAGCATGTGAGCAAAATCTTTTCAAAATCGCGACGCGAGATCCATGCGGTGGCGCCGTTGCTACGGATGCCGCCATAGGAGAAAGGCCGCTCAACGTCATCCTAGAAATCTGTGATTTATGTCCAGCCAGACTGCGGGCCCGCGGCTATGCCTGGCTATGCCGCGGAAGAGAGGAAAAGTGAGGGAGAATTATTGCGGCTGAGCTGGGCCGGGCGTGGGCCCGCCCGTCCGTCCTGGCGTCCTGTGCGGAGTTTGGCGCGTGCGTCCGAGGAGTAACAACAGACGAAACTCCTCCAAAGAAAATGGGGTAGAGATAGGTAAATACCCATTTTAAGGAACATCGAAAAGCCTCCTGCTGCCTCCAGTGACGCTTGGTCATTTGTAAACAGAGACTTAAAACTAGCTCTTTAGTCTATTTCACATTCTGCCTCGCATTCTACGCGCATAAAATATGCACGCGACTCTAAGCGGGATCCAGTGGTTTATGGTGGAACGACGAGCAAGCCCGCCGGAGACAAAGCCGTTTCTTTTCACAAACGCACTCACCCTCTCCACTACACTTCATATATTTTCAGAGGAGAAACTCAAAGCCTATCCCGTCATGAGAAGGGGGCGTAGGAGAGAGAGAGACGGCTTATGATGGAGTAGGT